CCAAAGTTACCCATCCCCTCTTGGGTAAATACCGAGCCAAGCAGGGTTGGCCCAAAGCAGGGCCACTGAGGCCCAAGAACTTGCAACAAGCCTAAGGCACCTTCTGGTGGGGACCCACAGGAAAGGGCCAGAAGGGCCCCATGACTCTGGGATGGAAGAGAGCGAAATCAAAATACAGGTCAAGAGCAAGTTTGCCCTCGCCAACCTTCCACGGTCTCTCACCCACGTCTCTTCCAAGTGTCTCTACATGACTCCACATGTCTCCTTCTGTGTTCCCCAGATCCGTGGTGCAAGAACCAGGGCCTAGGAGCAGACACCCTCCTTCACAGGTCTGACCACCAGGTTCCCTCCAAGTCTTGGCCTCACTCAGTTCCATCCTCCACCAGGTGGGACAGGGAGCATGTAACCTCCCCTTTTTATGGAAATTACACTGTAATAATCCCCCGTTTGATGTTTTCACACCATTTCTATGGTGGCAAAGATCTAGGGGTGCAGCCTTCTGAGACATACTCTTCCAGGGTCCCACTGTGATCAAGAGAGATAACCATCAGTGCACAGACGTTGGCCATGGGTGGCCATTGTGGCAAAGCCCAAAGGAGCAAAATCTGGAGGCATTTTCCAAACAAAAGAGCTAATAGCTTACAGAAAATCCCAGCAACAGCAAAAACTATCTTACAACTGGTTCTACTAGTTTTGAATCATTTTCTAATGAGCCTGGGCTCCTCAAACAAGTGACCTTGGCTGGTTATCACCATAGCAACAGCTCACTTGCCAAACTTCCTGTGTGGGAGGAAGCATTTTGGGAAGAAGGGAAGGCAGGACTGCAGAGTGGTTTTTCCCATTTGTGAGCCTTCCCCTCTGGCAAATCGTGTGCTTCTCTTGAGTGCTGGCCAGGGTCAGCCTCCCGATCGCCGAGTGTGACCACAACACACGCACAAAAGTAATTCTGAAAGCTGCTTTCTCTGACTTCTCAGAAGTGCTCATTATTTCTCTGCTCGCCGTTCTTTTCACTAGCAGCCCCCCAAAGAAGAGAGTCAGTCGTCCTCCTCAGCTTGAGAGGGCGAGAGAGACCGCCAGCCAGAGGACGGGATGCGCCCTGAGCTTCACGGCTACTCGCTGCACTTGGGCTACACAGGCTGGCCTAACTGGACTGACCCCCACGTCCCCTCCGCCTCCCTGCAGCCGGGTCTGCCCCAGCCACCACCCCGTCTACAGCTGACCCGGCTCCTCCAGCCTCTTGTGGTGGCCATGATGCTTCTGGGAGTCTCCCCAGCAGCGGCGGGCTGGGTTGGGGCCGAGGGGAGCCATCTGTGTTCTGTGGAGCCTGGCGTATCAGCTGCCTGTGAGCTGCAGGTTTGGTCTGTCCCACCACGTCCAGAGCAGAGCCGCCTCTTAAAGGCCACAAGGGGCCTTCCTTGGCTGGCCGGGAAGCGCACCGGGCCGCACAGCCCTGCCTGGTGGCTCTCAGCTGTACCGTGGGGTCCACTTTCCAACCAGAATCCCCGAGCCCGGCCTGCTCATTCCTTGGCCTGAGTTCAACCTTTCCTGCTAGTTTGGACCCCAGGATTGTGTCTGTGAAAGAAATCTCTCTGGGCAACATCCTTGCCTGACTCTGACGTACAAAGGTGTAATTAGAACAGCATGGAGCAGGCGGGACGCTCCATTTACCTCATCCCTAACATTTAAGTGCTTTAAAATATGTTTCTAATCTCTTAGGTGCACAGCGCCAAATTCCCTCCTCAGTTTTTCACATCCATGAGCAGATCCGCACAGACTAAGCCCCTTGGGTCTTAGGTTCTGCTTAGAAGTTCTTTTTTCCCTTTAAAGAAAACAAATATGCCATTAAAACGACATAGTGTACTCTGCATATTTTTAGGACAATTAGAGTTTAGAATTCCCTCTCCTTCCGCCCATGGTAAAAAAGTTTTTCCTTAACTGTTTCCTGGCCAAAAAAAAAAAAAAAAAAAAAAATGGCACTCGGCTGCAATACACCAAAAGCTGTTCTCATCTTTTAAAAGGAACCTTCTCACCTAGAGTTGGCAAAGCACTGGCTGGCAGACTGAGGTCCTTGAGAGGCTTCAGGGAAGGATCCCGGCTCCCCTTACCTCTGCCGGAAAAATCCTTCCGGGAGACCGTTGTTTGTGGCTTTTCTGTTTCCAGGAAATTGGAGGGATACTGTCTGACACTGCTTTACTCAAATTGGGCACCGGGGTTGGTGATTTTGGGGGAGCGCTTCTGATGGTATAAATGAAATCAGGAAGGTGTCAGCAACTGGTCACGCTCAGCCTGTGGGCCAGAGCTGCAGCCAGGCCCAGTGAGAACCACACAGGCCACGTTCCCGCAGAGGGAGCTGCGGTGCAGAGAGGGCAGGCCCCCGAGTTTGTGTGGCCCATGGACAGAGCCCCTGCCCTTTACCTGTGCTGCCCTTCACCTGTGGCTGGTAACAGCAGGCAGTAGACAAGCCCAGCACGGTCTTACACCCAGACCTAAAGCAAGGAACCAGCAGCAGTGACCACGCTCCTGCTCGTTCAGGTTCAGAGGTCCCATAGCCACTATTAAAAGGAGACGTGAGGGCCCTCCCTGGTGGCGCAGCGGGTTAAAGCACTGCACTACGAAGCTTAAGCCACTTCCACATGAGTTCGATTCCCGCCTGCCCCGGAGGTGACCACATGGCGTGGCAGACCTCTCCTGACCCGCCCGCTGCTCCCCTCAGCAGTGTACTTCGTCGATCTGCCTGTTCTGCTCCCCGCTCTGTCTCTGGTGAAGCCTCTCACCCTCCGCATCTCTGGCCTGTACCCCAGTTCTATATGAATAAATAAATCTTTAAAAAAAAAAAAAAAGGAGACGTGAATGCAAGACGTGACTGCAGCTTTTCATTCATTGCAAATCCTATCAAAGGATGGTGAAACGTAAGCCCCGCTCCATGCATGATTCAGGCAGCATGAAGTGCACCTTCCCCGAATCTGACTTGGGAGATGAGCTGATGCAAAGATGGCTTGCAGAACACCTCTGGGGCTGTCTCAGGAACCAGGGGTTACGTCGGAGAATCAAGGAAAGAATGCATCATTTCCTGGGGGAAATTGTGTTTATTTAAATTAAAAAATATTGTGAAAATTACAAACTGTTAAATACAGAAGACAATTTTCTACAACTCAATAGAATAAAAATGAAGTATATACATCACTTTTTAATAGGCGCAGATAGACTGGCACCAACTTCAGGATTAAGCAATGGAAAATGTGACAACGCACACGTCCGTCGCAGTAAAGTTTCAGAATTCAAGTGATTCCAGGCAAGGGGCCAACTTGGCTTCTTTTACCTAAAACAGCCCCCTTTGGAGTAAATCCACATGCTGAATTTTAAAGTGAACAGAGGGCCCTTTCCCCCCCAAACATAAATCTCCTCTAGCACTGTGTTAAAAGAACTGAGAAACCAGCCCGACACTGTTAACCCTTCTGTGGGAATAGTCATTACAGCTGTCTCAGACCAGGGAGAGGACGGGTTTGCATGTGTGTGTGTGTGTGTTAAAGGGTTTTTTGGTTTGGCTTTGTTTCCACTAGAATTAAAGTTGACCTTTTGGTGTGTTTTTCTTCCTCCTTGTCTCCAAGGGTCTAGAGGGTCTTCTGCAAAGCTGTTGGCCAGAGGAATCCATGACATTCCTGGGCAGTTTCTCCTCATCTCCTGGCTCCCTTAGCTGGAGCATTAACATTCTACCACCTGGAGAACTTTGCAAAGTAAAATGTAGTCTTTACCTCTTTGGTTCACTGCTGGGAAAACCACAGCAGGATTGTGATGGTGATTGGCTCTGAATGTCCCAATTACATGTGTTCTGAGTCTCCATCTACTCCTTTAAATAGGCAGATCCTCTTTCAGGCAAACTGGCCAAAGGAGAGATAGTGTTTCCAAGCTTCCTCACACCCGGCCACGCAGGATTTATCACAGAGTCTTAAAAATCTGAAGACATCCTTCTAAACCCCTGGGGATCTAGATGCCTCTTGATGACATGGCCGGGACCACACAGCAAATCAGTTTCAGAGCTCAAGACCAGGAAACGCCGCGCCTGGGCCCTGGCTTCGTGTCATCTCTGTCTGAGTGTGACTTTCTAGGTCTCAGCTACGTGACGAAATACCATGTCGTAGAGACTCACATTAGGTCCCAGTTCAGAAAACAAGGCTGGGAAAAAGCAGCAGCAGAGCTAAAGGTTTTGGCCTTGTTCAACCCCACCATCACCCCTTTTGGAAAGTCCCAGAAGAATCTCTGCACAGCCACTTGGGGTGCAGGTTAGACTCTGGGGAAGCCCTTCCAACAGAAGAAAAAAAAATATCATGCCAGCATGCAATGCTGGATAGTCCCAGGTCAGAGTGGAAGGTCATAGGTTAAACAAGCAGTCAAAATAGCAGATCACGTGTTAGCATCCCAACCAATGTTAATGAGCTGGACGATTGCATTGTTTCCTGACAGTATGCAAACAGACCAGGTTTCTCCAGCTTTCTCCCATCCAAAATTCTCCATCAGACTCCATCCCCAACCCACAAGTCCTCCAAAAGTAACTCACTGTGTACTAATGCACAGATTCGTAGAAGAGGTACTTACAGCCGACCAGATCTAGAAGGACAAAGCTCTAGGCAAATTAGCAAATCAAAGTAGTCCCTCATCTTGTCTAGGCAGGAGCAGCCCAAGAGCCGGCAGCTTCTGCAGGGTGACCAGGGGAATCCAGTGAAAGAACAGCCAGTGCCGCCACGTTCTGGACAGTAGCCCCGACCCCTACAGTAAATGTCCACACTGCACTTCTCTGGCTTTCTCCAGAGTGGGGCCACACCATAGACACAGGACTCCTTGCTGCAGCTGCTGGCCTGAGCTGAGCCTTGTCGCCCATCTGGGGGCTGGTGGGGCGCCCTTCAAAGTGGCAGCTGTACAGCAAAAGTGAAACCAGACACAGAGTGTGCCCTTCTCGCTAAGGGTGCTGGCGGATGGAGCCACCTCCAGTGGCCTTGGAGGTGCTAGGAATTCTGATGGATATTCTCTGAGGACCCTTCACTGCTCTCGTTGAGGGGTGTCTCCGAAGTCTCCTCCAGCTCATCATCCGCCCCTTCCTCCTGGATGGTGAGGTGCACATCAGGAGAGGAGGACTCGGAGCTCACGCTGTCTCCCTCCATGGAGCAGAGTGTGCAGGACAGGGCGGGCGCCACGCTCTCCTGCAGCATGCTTAGCATGACCGGCACCTGCATGGACCTCGGCCCCGGCGCGGTGGGCAGCGGCTTCATGGCCTCCCCCCAGAGCCTCTCTTCGTCTTTGTACAGCAGCAGGATGCTGGACTTCTTCTCCCGTCTCTTGGACTTCATGTACCCCAGCATGATGCCAATCAAGAAGATGCCATAGAAGGACATGACCACCAGGATGTAGAAATATTCATTGCCGTTGCTGCTGCTGCCGCCCGGCACGTGGGACTCGAGGGGGCTGCTGGGCACGGTGGTGCTGGCGGACGTGCTGTTCAGAGGCTCCATCTTCAGCATTGAAGCACCACTCGCACAGCCCAAGTCTGCGGAGAAAACTGCAGGTTAGAACCTCCCGGACCCAGCAGACAGGGAGGAGGAGAAGCCCAAGATTCTGGGAGCGGTCGTTTCCAAGAAAGCTTCTAAGTGCCTGGAGAAATAATAGCAAAAGGTGCCAGCGAACAGTTAACAGGGTTTAGCTGGGGGGAGGGGGAGGGGATGGAGGAGAATGGAAGGAGAACTTTCATATTTTAGTAGATACATGTCCCTCCTATTTGCATTCCATAAAGTGAGCACATTAAAAAGCATAGCTTTTATAATTTAAAAAGGGAAAAATTCCATGTAAGCGAGGGAGCCTAGAGAAAAGAAATAACATTCTAATCACTAGGAAAGTTTTTTTTGACTAGTGGAGCAGGAAAAGAGCAAGTTTACATTTTGCTCCTCGAACTGAAAACCACTTTTAATTTCAATCGAATTTTCTTGGACTAAAGAAAGGACAACCTCAGCCACTCATTGCTAGAAATCGCTTTCTTTTCCATGGTCCTGGCCACGCGGCACCTTGCTCACTTACCGAAGGCTGGCGAGTCTGTCCAAAGCCCTGAATTCCTAACCGCTCAAGTCCACGAGCCTCCTTCCTGCCTGCCGGGCTCAGCGCTCTGACAACCGCTGCTGCAGTGGGGGATATATAGTCAAGAAATGCATCGTCACGTGTTCCGGGCGGAAGATTTACAACAGAGGTTGGTCGTGGCAGAGAACTGAAAGCGCCGCGTTCAACTCCCTGAACTTTGCAGCTGTGAAGAGAGCAAGACCAGGAGGAATGCCCCCGGCTCCCAGCACCAGCACGGCTCACGTGGGCGTGAAGATGAGAGAAAGCAAGGAGGAAAGAATGTGCCAGGCAGGCACAGTCCCCCCAAAGTCCACCCTTGTTGGAAATTAGTTCACGATTCATGTCCCTCTTGGGAAATAACCAGGATGGCATCTATAGGTTTTCAGAGATGATCAAATGCCATGATCTGGGTAAAAGAGGGCAGGAGGCTAGCTTTACTGTCGAGGAGGGAGGGTTTAAGTTTCAGCTCCTTCACGAACTGTGCAAATGGAATAAAGCCTCACTGAAACTTCCACTCCTCAGAGTGGGAAATTTGGGGTTGAGGGTGGGGAGAGCATAACTTCAGCAGATAATTAGATGATCTTTTGTATCCCTATCAGTCGTTTAATCATTTTAACTTTTAAAGTTGACTGGTGCGTGTGAGTCCTTTAAAAAAACAAACAAACAAACAAACAGAGATTCTACCTGGTTTTTGCATCAAGCTCACAAATCTATCGTCATCTTCATAATAAAAATCTTCCAGTTGTTTTCAAGTAGTCTGCATGGAGGGGAAAGGAGTCACAAGAGGATTTGCTCCAGTTCTGCTGTTCACAGCTGCTCCCAAAGCATCACATGGAGCCAGTCACACATCTCTTTGCTGTCTCGGGCAGGTCAGGGAGAAGTGGAAATTCTGGTGAGCAACTGAGCAGAGTTCAAGTTTTTACAACCGCCGCAGTCCCTGTGTTAGTTAAAATAACTGATTGTCATGATCAAACTCAGAAAAGGAACTAAAGGTGTTGATGTCACCACAGCGTCTCCCTGGATGCTGACTCTGAGAGGCTGGACGTGGAGGCAAACAGGGAGGGGGCTGCCTTCAGTTGCCTGTGGCCCGTGAACCATAGCCAGACGATCTTGGGAACCCACTTAAAAGAAAGCACCCTTCAGGCTCTGCTGTGGTTAACGGGAAGCTGGGAGGAGAGACCCGTGTCCCTCTACCCCATCTGGAACACATCTAGCCGAAGCACTTGAACTTTCACCACAGCTGCAGGAACCCACGAGACTGCTGTCTGGCCCTAATTCTGTCAGACACCTGTGAAAGTGCTGGATAATGAGCCCAGGATGCTGTTTCTGCTCCTGCTGCTGTACTCCTTCCAGTTTGAGCTGTGGGCACCCTTCGATCCCAAGCTGACAGTTCCAGCACCCAGGTCATCAGTACACTGGCATGTTGCTCACCCTAGTCATGTCTTCCTCGTCACGGCAACAGTGCTTCAGAAGTCCACAGCTACCTTGGCCCAGGCACACTTGGCCCTTTCCACCTGTATTCATGTGCGTACCTGAACGCTCCCATCCTGAGCTGTCCTTGCAGTGGGGTGGCAGGGACACTAGAACAAGGGACACCCATGAGGACTACTGGAGGGTGATTGATCCCAATATGGCTGATTATGCATCTAGGGACATAGGAGATCAGAAATCACCTAAGCGTGGTCAAGCACAGTCAACAGGAGGGTTTAGAGAGTCACTGAGGGAGGTAGAGAGGGGCTTTCATATGGAAAGAGCAAGGGAGAGCACAGCCTGATGCCAGGAAGTCAAACCGAAGCTGATGCTTCAAACAAGATCAGACCCCAAATCCAAGCAAATAGTCCCAAAGTGTAAAACCCAGAAAAGACTTGGATGAAACTAAATGAAATGCAAAATACAAAATACGAAGCAACGCAGAGACAGCACGGACAACATCCAAGTAGAAACCTGGCAGGCAACGGCCCGGATGCAGCTTGCTGGATCCCGCTGCCTCTGGGACACTCTATCTGTGCGTGGACGTTTCTCCTACAACTAAAAGGAAAGGAGCAGGTAACACCCTTGGTGCTCAGGTTGGCACACTGGACATGCTCAGTGTGTCCCTCTTGCCACTTCTGAGAGCGCCCTTGCTACAAGGCTTCCTGTTCCTTCCTGATGTACACAGGCCTATTTCCAGACTGAGCGCTATTGCTTCTTCCCTTTTTTTCTGGCCAAAAAAACAATGGAATTTAAGGTTTGGATTTTACACCAAACATATCTCCATCTTCTCTCCAGTCCAACCCGTGACAGTATTATGAATTAGGGCAGTGAGTAGCAGCATACATGGTGTCAGGAAAGGTACCAGCTCTTGGGGACACCAGGGTGCAGGTCTCGGGGGACAGGCAGGAGTCAGGCATCACATACACTCTTCACCAGTTTCAAGAGACCACCATATAGAAAAGACACAGGTTACAACTATCTCCTCTTGGTCAGTGTCTGCTCTTCTGTTTTCTTATCAGTGTCTTTTGAAGACAAAATATTTCTCTTTTTTTTTAAGATTTTATTTATTTATTCATATAGAACTGGGGTACAGGCCAGAGATGCGGAGGGTGAGAAGGTTCACCAGAGACAGAGTGGGGAGCAAAACAGGCAGATCGACGAAGTACACTGCTGAGGGGAGCAGTGGGCGGGTCAGGAGAGGTCTGCGGCGCCATGTGGTCACCTCCGGGGCAGGCGGGAATCGAACTCATGCGGAAGTGGCTTTAGCTTCTCAGTGCTGCGCTTTAACCCGCTGCGCCACCAGGGAGGGCCCCGACAAAATATTTCTTAATATTGATGAGTTTCCATTTTCAAAAATGTGCATGGTTTGTGCTTTTTTAGCCAAAGAAATTTGTGTCTGATCCAAAGTTACAAAGATGTTCTCTTATTTTTCTTCTAGAAGTTTTATAATTTTAGCTCTTTGGGCTAGGTCAAGGATCATTTCAAGTTAATTTTTGTATATGATGCTAAATCTGGGTCAAGGTCTAATTTCTTTTTACATATGATACTCAACAGTTCCCATACCTTTTGTTGAAAACTGTTCATTGCTCATTGAATTATCTTGGGACCTTTGTAAAACATCTTATCACCAAATACGTGCAGGTCTATTTCTGAGTCCTTTCTCCTGTCCCTTTGATCAATCTACATATCCTTGCATTAATGTCATGCTCCTTTAATAAGTCCATTTTAAACTGACATTTTAAATTTATCCAGGACATGCTTTAGTCTGCACCTAGCTAAGGATCTATTTTTATCTCAAACCTTGGTAGGCTTTCATCAATCCTGTGAGGAACATATTTTCATAACTGCTCCAGAGACAGGGAAACTGAAAGTCAGAGAGGCTGAGCGAGTTTGCACATGGCCAAAAGTGGCCATGTCAGAACCTGAACCCAGGTCCTGACAACTACAGGACCCATCCACTTCCCACTACCTTTGGCACAGGGGGACCAGGAGAGGGACTCAGAAAATGGAGAAAATAAAAGATGGCATCTCTTCAGCTTCTTTTTTGTTTTAAAGAGCTATTTATTTATGCAGACAGAACTGGGGTACAGGCCAGAGGTGCAGGAGCAGTGAAAGGGTTCCCTAGTGACAGAGTGGGGAGCAGAACAGGCTGACTGATGAAGTACACTGCTGAGGGGAGCAGCGGGCGGGTCAGGAGAGGTCTGCCACGCCATGTGGTCACCTCCGGGGCAGACGGGAATCGAACTCATGCGGAAGCGGCTTTAGCTTCTTAGTGCTGTGCTTTAACCCGCTGTGCCACCAGGGGGGTCCCTCCACTTCTTTTTAACCCTCATAAAACTTACAAGAAAAAAAAGTAAATTCCGAGATGCCAGCTATGTAGATGAATGCAAACATGCTGTTACACATGCTTCTCCTAATTTCATACGATCTAAAGCCTGGGACACTGTACCACCCTTAGCACGTTCTTGAAGTTACTGGTGCAACAATCACACTCTCCTCCTACATTCCATATTGCCCAAGCAAAGCCATTTCCCTTGTGCATGTCTATACAGCTGATGTCTGGTCTTCTTGTTTTGATTTTATTTTCCCTACTTGATCCTAATACACAACTTTCTCCGGAGCTTTGAGTACTTTAATTTCCTGATAACGTCATTTTCTCCAGATGACCCAGGAGTCCTGGCCACACATCTCTGAAATTATGTTTGCAGCTTCTGTGACTAAACAAAGTCCGTGCTGGGATAACAGCTCGGTATTGAATCTCATCAGATTAATCCTAAGTCTGGAGTCCAGAGATCTGACCCAGCTTGGCCTTGCCCTGCTACGTGACTGGCTAAGTTGCATAATTTCTCTGTGTTTCAGTTTTAACCCCTCAGGCATGTCAAGAGTAGAGCAATTAATTCTCTCAAGACATTCAGAAACATCCCAGATTCCACCAGGAGCTCCCCTCCCGAGGAGATGGTAAGGAACAGCACAGACGTGGGACAGGCTGCAGGCCTGACAGAGCCCTGAGAACAGAAGCCCCGTGCTCACCGCTGCCCTTGTTTTCCCCAGAAGCCCTTCTGAAAGGTTGTGTCTGGGAACTCCTCCGTGCTCGGCTCTTCTGTGCTCGGCTCTTCCAACGCCCTGAGTCACACTCCCTAGACACATGCTTGTGAGTTTTCCTAGCACTTGGAATGAGACAGGACTGGGCATCGGATAGGCGCTTACCAGATCTCCACATCCTCAAAGCACACAGGGGATGTGGTGATAGACAGGTCCTCTGGACATCACCCAAAAGAGATGAAGCTGGAATAACCCAGGACTCTGGAAACTAAAGAGGCGATGACAGAGTTGCCATTAACTTGCCTGTGTTATTTATTATTCAAAAATCCTTTTCACCTGATATTTAACAAATACTTCTGTAGTGCCTAAGGTACCTCAAGAGCTGCTCTAAGCACTTTGCAAGTTTTATCTTATTTAATATTCCTTAAGTGGCTTGCGAGGAGGCTGTCTTATCACCCTACTATACAGGTAAGGCAACTGAGGCACAAGGAGATCGGAGCAGCCGCCCAAGATCACACAGTTGGTGCACAGCATGCTGGCTGGTATTGCGGCCAAAACCGAGACTTTGAACTCAGCCTTT